AGGAAACCGTCTGATCTGTGTAGACGCAGAAAACCGCTGGACAAAATTAAACAAGAACCTCAGCTAACGGGGAACAGGAGGGAATTTCCTCGGTCCCCCAGGGTTCTTCACCAAGGGCCCCGTGATCTGGGCAGGGTGGTGAAGGGTGGGGTATCTCGCCTGGCGGGACGAGCCAGGGCCCACCTCCCGCCCCCCAAACGCCCCACTGGGGCCTGTCTGGCAGCAGCAAGACTACACGTGCCGGCATTTCAGGCAGCGTGAAGGTCCGTGTAGGAAACCCTGGCAGTTTGGGGAGAGCTCCTAGGAGCCGTGGGTGAGCTCAGCAGCCCGCAGCCGGGCAGTCAATGCACAGAAATAAGCTGGATTTCCACACGACAGCAACAGCACTGTGAACTGAAATAAAAATACATGGCCTACCAGAGCACCCACGAACAAAACGCCCAGGGCTTGCTCTCCACTCTTCTGTCGGGTGCCGGTGGCCACGGCTGCCCTAGGCTGGCCGCGTGGCTCTCGTGGGCCTGGGGTCATGCTTTACGCCAGGCACTGGGGCCTCCAGCCCCCCGAGGGCAGGCCTCTGCTCAGGACCCACACCTGCACCCCGCAGCTTCTCCCGTTCTCTCCTCCAGGTGCCTTGTGTTTGAACCCTGGTCAGTTACCTGGGGAACCTCGGGACTCCGGCTCTAGGCCGGCTGCCGTCTCCAATGCCCCCCTCAGGGACTGATCTCTCAGATGGGGACACTGGGCCCCCAGCCCCTCAACAGCACCCCAGGGGGGACCCCTGCCTGTTAGAGTTCTCGTTAGCTGTTCCCGCGTCGCGAGTGGCTTATGTCTGCTCTCTGTCGATCTTCATTTTCCTAAAAGTCCTTGTTATTTGCAGCACACAGAACACACTTATGTAACCCTGATTGTTTACAGATGTGTTTGGTGTTTATTTAAAAGAAAATATTTTAGTTTAGAAAAAAAAATAACACATTTTAAAACCTGGACACAACCCTAAGTTTGAGGGTGAAAATCTCCAAGGTAAGAGATAGAATAAATTCACAAGCTTCTTTATCTCATTCACTGTATTGGGCAGAGCAAGTTATCTGAATGAGGGTGAAGTTTAATTCCGTAACGTTTTAAGAACTACGAATACGGGAGCTGTTGTCACCCTGAAAATGACTTGTTTTAAGAGCTCTTACAGGCACGTCCTCACGTCCTAAGTTGTGAAGGGCTGGGTGGAATTAAAATGCATCTTGTCCCTCATTGTTAAGAGGATAATTCTGCTGTGTGTTTATTTCCACGAAAGACAAAGCTGGCAGTGATCAGACGTGAAATCGGAGGTGAGCTCAGATCTTGGTTTGATTCCTGCTAAAGTCATTTCTGCTCCGATCCCGACATGGGCCGCCGCCGTCAGAGCCTCGGGAACAGCAGAGCGGGGCTCCCCCAGCTCCGGAGCACACGGCTGGGGGTTCATTACCTGCTAATTTGCTAATTAAGGCGAATGCCTTCCTGAGGGGGAACTCCTGGGACCCTGGAGAGGTTCCTAAATTTAACCTTCACCCTCTTTCAGTGCGGAGCAACGATGGGGTTTTATTTTATTTCTTACGGGAGCCTAGAGGCTGCGATGGCCAAGGTCTAACGCTGGTGCTCAGTCGCAGGTCCCCAAACATCCCTGAGCTGTGCTATTTTCAAAAGTAAAACCAACCGGCAGAGCGACTCCTTCCACCAGGCTTCCTGATGCCGCCCCCCGCAGCTCCCGCGCTCCGCGCCTCCCCGTGGACAGCCTTCCTCCCAAACGCGCTGGCAGAGCCCCTCCCAGGCCCAGCGTCCAGCTCAGCGGCTGGGGGGCGGTTTGTCCAGGGGGGGGACTTGTGCTGAGGCCACGGGCACCTCCGGGACTCCCCAGGTGCCAAGGCTCACAGAACACTGGCCTTGCCGTCAGGTCTCATCCCTCAGGCAGTCACGTCACCTGCCCAACGCGATGGGACTTAGTCTGTGTGGTTGTCCTAAGATCTGCTTCAAGAGCCACCAGGTCGGCCTGCCTGGTTTTTACAGAGCCCTCCGGTCAAGGCTGCAGCTCGAGAGACTTGGGGTGAGGTTAGGGTCAGGATGGGGGTTAGGGTCAGGGTTAGTAAAGTCAGGGTCGGGGTCAGGGTTAGTAGGGTAGGGGTCAGGGTTAGNAGGGTTAGGGTTGGGGTCAGGGTTAGGGTGAGGGTTAGTAGGGTCAGGGTTAGTAAAGTCAGGGTCAGGATCAGGGTTAGTACGGTCAGGGTCGGGGTTAGTAGGGTCGGGGTCAGGGTTAGGGTTGGGGTCAGGGTTAAGGTTAGGGTCAGGGTCGGGGTTAGGGTCAGGATTAGGGTTGGGGTCAGGGTTAAGGTTAGGGTCAGGGTCAGGGTTAGNGGGGTCAGGGTTAGTAGGGTAGGGGTCAGGGTTAGGGTTGGGGTCAGGGTTAAGGTTAGGGTCAGGGTCAGGGTTAGTAGGGTCGGGGTCGGGGTTAGTAGGGTCAGGGTTGGGGTCAGGGTGGGGGTGGAGGTGCACCGTTTGTTACTTTACAAGTGGTGCTCTGAGGAGGCCTCCTTTGTGCCCGACCTCGGGCTCCTGGGGTGGGGACCTGATGGAG